AACACAACATAACCTTAAACACAACATAACCCTGAACACAACATAAATCCTAACCTTAAATAAATTTGTGGTAGATTTGAATCTTTTTTTAAGAAGGACATTTTCAGTGCAGTTTTCTTAGCGTTAAGCTAGTTGTGTATTTATATGGAGACACAGCTACGAAGGCGTTTAGTACTTATAAATACTGTGGTCCAAAAACTGAACTTGCTAGGCGGGTTTGGGGCATTACAGTATCAAAGTACATTTCTTTTAGGCAAATATTCAGGACTTTTATATACCCCTGAAGTCCTAGGAGACCTCAGTGGTGGGTCCGGCCCTGCTCACCATTAGTGGTGGTCCTCTATAATTAGTAAGTGTACTCATGTGGACGAGAACCAGAGGCGGCAGCACTCTGTACTGGTGAGTACCGGCCCATTTCAGGCACCGGTCCAGGCACCGTTTCGGTGCCAGTACAGTTTTAATAGCATCGCCAAGGTACAGGTCTTGAAAAGCCCCCAAACAATATCCAGTGTATGTGGGTATCGTCTGTATGTGTGTGGACAGATCTGTGGGTAAAGGTGAGTCGTACCTGTGTGGACAGGTGAGTCCCCCTCAGCATGAAGCCCAGCGTGCAGCCGGTGAGCACCGCAATGACCGACAGCGTCAGCAGCCCATTCCTCTTCAGGAACTTCTTCACGTTCTTACCCAGGTTCTCCTTCACCGTCACCTGGAAGAAGGACTTCACTTGGTCCCCCATCGTCCTCCCTGCATCTCCCGGAACATATGAACTGTGGTCAGAGCGAACCTCCTCCTCGCCGCTCGGTAATAGAAGCTCCTCCATCTTCAGTCGGTCCTCGTCTCGCTGTGTCTGGCAGGCTGACAAACCCAAGACAGCCAAAGACGAGCTAACCTTTTCCACTAAGGGATTAACTCATCATGGTCCGGTCCTGCAGGCCGGCTGCAGACTTACAGGGACTTTAAGAGGCTTAGGGAGGTGGACTAACACTTCACACGCCTTTGTTGTGGCATCTGGTTGTGCTACTGGACCTGGATGCTGTTGTGTTTTCAGTTTTTCTACTTTTGGCTGAACTGTTGAGGTCAGCAGGGAGGCCAGAATCCTGCAGGGTCAGACGGACAGACGGTCAGTAAGAGTCTGAGTCTATGACATGTTGTTGTTGTTGTTGTTGTTGTTGTTGTTGATCACTGTTTGAAAATAAAACCACATGAAAAAAGTGCAAGTATCAGATCCTTTACTGCAATAAAAGTACTAATACCTCAGTATTAAAAGTACATTCAAACTGTACTAGTATCAAAAGTAAAAGTGCTCATTATACAGTATAATATATTAATATGATATTATTTGTTTGATTATAATTGTTGCAGCTGGTAATTTAATGACTTTATAAACTGCTGAGAGTTTGTGAATGTCCTTCCAGGGATCACTGCGCTCTCCCTCGCTGTCTCTGAGCTTCGGCTGCAGTCATTATATCACCAATAATTAAAATACTGCACAAATAACAAAGTTACTGAGTTATTACTGCATCAGCTGGAAATGTTAGTGACTCAACATTTTTGGAGGATAAAACTGTGTTAAGATTTGCTTAAAGTACCAAAAGTAAAAGTACAGAATTTCAAATATATGTTATATGATGTTAATATAATTATTGATGTATTAATGTGTTAATTACTTCTAAAATATTTAATAATGCATCATAATTTATCAGTTGATTCATATTTTGTATTAATAATGTGAATCTGCAAAGTAACTGAAGTTATTAAATAAATTTAGTAAAAAGTACAATATTTGCCTCCAGTGGAGTAAAAGTATAAAGTAAAACGAGGGTAAATGTACTTCAGTAAATGTACTTACACTCCACCACTGGATTCATTTGTCTCTTGTAAGCCTGTGAGAGGTCGACATTGACCCCTTGCTCCTGGTAGATTGTTAAGATGAGTGTGAGACTGTAGTTCAGTATAAAGCTCAGACAGCTCCTGACAAAATAAATGCAAGCAATACTCTCTTTCTGCCACAAGGCGGCGCCAAATTATCATCTTTAAACCTCACAGTGGTGTCTGTGTGCAGCAAAACACAAATATTATTACAGTAGAATAATGACAATAAACAGTCGGTTCAGTATTTATTACATCTGTTTTTATTCTGCTTCATCTCAGAGGCATATATTGTACTTTTTACTCCCCTACATCTGTCTGGAAACTATATTTTTCCTGCAGTATACATCATGTATAATGCATTATATGTGTTATATATTACATACGTATAACTACCTAACTGTGTATAATGTAGTAAAAATTTGTTCCACTCCAACCATCTGTGTTTATTCCATATTGCGGTGGTTAGTTTAGTAGTTTCACTTTTTTAGTGTTTTAGTCTTTTCAAAGTGCATTTTGAATAAGCTGAAGCTTTTGATGGTCTTTTTGCAGAATATTGGTCAGTGCTGTAGATACAGGGCATAGGTCAGTGCTGTATACAGCTCAGAGGTCTATCCTGTTTATTTGATTCATATTCAATTGTTTTGTCAGGACTTACTTTGCAGGGATGCCAACTTGTCTGAGCATTATATTTCTTTCCTACTACATCTGTCTGAAAACTACATTTTACATGCAAAATATATACGATTAATTTATAAAGTATAACGCAATATATGTTATATATCAAACCACCCAACAGTGTGTAATGTAACAACAATATAACAAGTGCTTTTGTTCTGTTTTGTCCAGCATTTTTACACCATGCTACTGCCATTTAAACTGCCTGTGCCATTGTGCTTTTTATGTGAGTGGTTCATCTTTATTCTCATTAAACTGCAGTCGATAAGAAAAAACAGAAAACCTGCAAATGTGACAAATTCAACATTTTGGCTTTCAGCTATAAAAAAGGAAAGTAACGAGTACATTTACTGGAAACGGACCACATTGATTTCTGACTGGATGGAACTTTAAAGTATTTAGTATTTAGAGTATTTCCATTTCCTGCTACTTTAAAACTGTAACACCTGATAAGTTAATTTAACTATAAGTTAAAAACCTTCTTGATTGAGCTGCTTTTATGAGTAATTTAAATTAAATCAGTGACACTGACTTAATTTCTTAATCTTTATTTATTTTGTAGATATATATCTATATTTTTGTGTTATTACCTTTTTTTTCTTTGAATTTTAGAAAAGTGCTCTATAAATAAAATGTATTATTATTATTTATTTGTACTGTAAAAGTAAATACATAGTAAAAAGTACTTTTCTCTAACTTACAAAACTTAAAATTTATAGTAAAAGCTGCTCAATCAAGAATGTTTTTTCCGATGTAATCAGTTTCAGTTAAAATAACTGGTTTTAAGGTAGTATTAGTATTTGCATCCAGAGGTGGAGTCACTAAAGAGCACGCTGTGATTCAATCCAGGATCAATAAATAAAAACAAGCACATTATCAGAACAAACAGGATTAATTAAAGAACAATTTTAATAATAATAATGTGTTTAATTGCAGTAACAGAAGATAAATATGAGACACATAAATACAAAACTGTTCAGGTCACAATATGAAGACATACAACGATGAGAATGTCATCAACATAAAGGTGAATTGTACATGGATAGATATCGATATATATTAACTTTAAAAGGCTCCAGTGTTTTTATTTTGGGTTTTCAGCTTCAGCTCACACAGACGCAGAGTTTACGATGACAAAGACTCGGAAAGAAACAGAAACTAAACATATTATTGGATATATAATCTTCCTTCTACTGATTAATGTACAAACAGCAGCCGGGTGGGTCGGCATCGAACACAGTACCAACACGGTCCGCAGCTCTCCGCTTCCTGTTTCCTCTGCTGCCGTTATGGAGTTTCACTTTGGTATTGTGTGTGTCACTTCCTGTGTGTCACCACTTGATGAAGACGAGTGCGGCGAGCGAAGCGTAGCCGAGGATGAGGAAGAGCACTTTGAGCAGCCGGTCCCGTTTGTCGTCCAGCTCTCGGGACAGAATCTCAAAGAAGGTGACGAAGAGGAAGGTCCCGGCGGCGAGTCCCTGCAGCACCACCGACGCCACGGCGCCCGCCAGCGTCTGCGCCGACTCGACGCCCATCCCCACCAACATCCCCGCCGGGATCATCAGGCTCACCGTGACGCCCAGCTTGGCAGCGTCCTTCATCCCGAGCGACGCCTTGGCCACGCTCACCCCGAGCGCCACGGCGGCCAGCGTCTCGTGCACGGCCACGGGCCCAGGAAGGGAGGCGGGCCACTTTGGCGCGTCGTCTGCAGGGCCGGGGCACGCCTCGAACACGGAGGTGTGACCGACGAGCAGACCAGCCGGGGCCAGCCACGCAGGGCCACCGCCCGCAGGCCTCGGGCGGGGCCTGAGTGTGCTTGGCCGGTGTGCGTGGGAGTTGTTCCGCCGCCAGCGGGGGCATGAAGGGGCCGTGTACTCGGAGTCAGCTGCCGGCTCGTTTTTGGAGCCGCGGCGTTGAAAAAAAGGTCTCCAGGTCGTGAGGGGTTTCCTTTCCTGAAAAGGTGAGACGGTTTGCCCACGAACACGGGAGGAAGAGCGGCATCATCATGTCTCGGCCAGCGGGTAGTCGCTGCTGATCTTCGCTGCATCGATGGGAACACGTGACACTGGGAGGGGGAGAGCCGCGCCTGTTAGAGTTTCACACCCCAGGGGCGCGGGGGACGCGGCCGCGGACCGTACTTGTCTCGGACGGCGGGGCAAGAGGTTGAGCACGTGGCGGGAGGAACAGCCCCTCCTCGA